GTTCTAAACCATAGTTCTACCAGATCTACATTACTATTCCTCCAATATTTACTTCAGTGAGAGGTGAAAGTTTTTATATAGTGACTGCTACCTTTTTTTTTTCAGATACATTGTGCAATACTGAGCTCTCTGCTAAAATAGCCTGCTCATATAGGCCCTTTTTTCTGCAAATACAAAAGACACTTACAAATTCAATCACAAGTACTTACCCAGTTGTTAGCCATTGCTGATTACTCAGCAACTCACACTCCTGGAAGAACAAATAACACGGACTGTTCTGTTAAGTTGAAGGGAATAGACTTATTTTCACAACAAGTTGCTTCCCTTTCACTCTATGGAGCGGTATATTTTAAAACAAATACAGAATACATTTTTCCACTGACCATCTTTTCTTTTCTGTAGGTCAATGACATGGACATTTCTCCCCACTCCCTACTCTTAATATCAATTACTTTTTATGCAGCAGCTTGCTCTTTCATTTATTAATAGTCCATTTAGAATTCTCACGCCCATGTTGCTAAAAGAAAAAAATCAGTTCATGCAAACATATATTCTGATAAACTATTTAAATCTTAGATCAGAACAGTTGTATACAAATTATTTTTGGTTAAAAATATTTATATTAATATTTTAAATTGGCCACTAAAGGGAAAAGGAATATCAAACAGATTATCAGATCCTGGCTTCCAGAGACTTGCTGTACAAGAAAATTTGCTCCTTCTTAGCTATAAAAGTCTAGAGTTAATTGCTGCCAGTTCAGACAGTCCATAAACACCAATACTTGAGCATTTAACTCTCAGGTCTAAGAGAAAAGACAGATTGTATGACTTTTTTTTTTTTTTTTTATCTACAGATTTATATCTATGCTTATTTACCTACACAAAGCAAAATGCGTCTTTTTTAACAAATCAAGTCTGACGAGAGATTAATAGCAGATTAATGTTAAACCAAATAATAAAAATAAATTAGTACTTTCAAAATTGTGATTATATTCTTAGATGTATTTTCCCTGCCCTAGAAGTACATTAAACACATTAGCATGTCAAGAAATACTTTATATATACAGAATCAGAAAGATGCTAATGCCTAGTGCTTAATGTTCACGAAGTTGAAAGTTGTCCTTACAGCGTATATCAGAATGTCTACAAATGACCTCAAAGAACAAGTAGTACAGAAATCACCTGAAACGCTCTGGGCAACCAACCACTAGAGTAGGAGAAATTTGCAACACTGATATCAAATTCTGCTAAGTTTCCCACTTTCTTTGCACATACTGGCACTGGGCAATCATTTGAGTAAGATTCTGCAGGGTTAATTTTGTTCACATGCCCTGGTATACAGACAAGTATTTCTACCTCAGCATTCACGCACCCTTAAGTAGTGAAGAAAAAACATGTACATAAAAGTAAGGTATTTTTAAGAGTATTAATTACATGTTTGTAAATAAGTGATAAATTTGCTGGATTCTATATATGTTAGGTATGAAAGATAAGCTATCCGTCTCTGAGTTTCTCATGAAAGAGTGAGCTATCCCTCTCTAACAAGAGCAAATTTTCAGATATTCAAAGAAGTTTAAAAGGATAGCATTACTCCTCTATAAAAAGATAATCTGCAAATGGAACTGAAAAATAAACTAGGTGAGTTTAAAGGTTTCTGAGACTCCATTAATATTTCAAAGAACTTTAAAATGGTCTGACAAACACTAATGTTCAAAAAGGGGCTGTGTTTAAACTCATTTTAGTCAAAATTGAAAATGGATTTCTTGTACGTTCTCTTTGTGCATCTAAGAGTGTATTATGTTATCCTGCATAGGAAATAGCATGCGGCTTGAAAATAGTGCACTCCAGTCTCATTTAACACTATGAAAAATATTATTTTTGTTTTACATGCTTTTCTCTTTGGTATTATGGTAATATCAAGTGTTGTTTCAAAGTTAGCTAGACAAGAGGGAACTACATAAATGAAAGAAGAAAGGAAGGACCAAGTGCTGCCACTTTTCAATTTTCCTTCCAGAAAATCTTGTTATTTGTCTAGATTTTTAGGACTCTTGCCAATAACGTTTCTGAGCTTCTGACACATATTAGTAGATCCGTTCCCCCCAAAATTGTTTAGGACAGAAATATAAACTGCTGCATTACAGATGAAAAAGTCACTTCAAATGAAGTGATTCACCCAACATGACACAAACATAAGTACTTCTGGCAACACTAAAAAACTGAACCTACAATTCAGATATAAACATTTAATTTATGAAGTCAGTTTTCCTTTTCTGGTAAAGACAGAGGTGACAGTAACTCAAGAAATAACAAATAGTTTTCACGCATTAAGTCTCAATAACATCAGAGGAAAAGCCCCAGGACAGATCTAATTCATACCCAGTCAAGAACTCCCATCACCAGTAGAACTGAAACTACTGATCACTTTTACATGTTTTGTGATGTAACTTGTATCCTGTAACTATGCAACATGTAATTCTTAGAGTTACTGGAAAAAAATAAATAAATAAATAAATACCTGAAGGACAATGCAGTCGTTGGTCACAGATAACAAAGGTGAAGGCGGGGAAAGCCTTGTTTAATTTGACCTCCTTTAATGACAATATCACCCACCTAGCAAACCAAGGGAAACCAGTTGATATAATCTTTTTGGAATTCAAAGTTCTCTCACGATATCCTGGAAATATATCCAGGATACAGCTAGGTAAAAACAACATGGTGGGTAAACAATTTGTTGAGAGATCAGGCTCAAATTGCTACAGTAAGTGGAGTTAAATTGGGATTGCAGCCAGTCAGTAGTGGGATTCCACAGGGCTAGGAACAGGGTTTTTTTAATCTTTTCATCAAGAACTTGGACGCAGGGCTTAAAAGGTACAGCAGATAAGTTTGTGGACAACACTAAATTGGGAGGAGCTGCTGTTGACTCCCTCAGTGGTCTTGCAGAGAGATCTTGACAAATTGGAGGATGGGGCATGCACCAAATATATGCAGTTTCACAAGAATGTGTATCATATTCTGCACCCTCAACAGTGCAACACTGGTTATCCCTGTAGAACAGCCCCATAGAATGCAATCTCATGGTTCTGGTTGACAGCAAGTTGAGTATGAATTGGCAGCATGCACTTAACAGCCGTAATTGCCAACCAGTGGTAAAGGATCTAGAGAACAAAGCATACTAGGAGTTGCAATGGTCCAGGGTTGGTTCAGTTCAGAGCAGAATAGGCTGAGGGGAAGTTTCATGGTGGTCTACAGCTCCTCATGGGGGGAGCAGAGGGGCAGCATGGAGCCATGCTCTCTGATGACATCCACAGGTCCTAAGGGAACAGCATGGAGCTGCATCAGGTGAGGATCAGGTTGGGGTCAGGAAAAGTTTCTTCACCAGAGAATGGTGAGGCCCTGGAACAGGCTCCCCAGGGCAGTGGTCAGAGCCCCAAGCTGTTGGAGTTCAAAGAGAGATTGGATAACACTCTCAGACACAGGGTTTGAATGTTCCTATTTGGAGCCTGTGTTGTTTCAGTGATCCTCATGGGACCCTTCCAACTCAATTTATTTTATCTTTTTTCTGTTGGTTAGCATGCTTAAAATGCCCTTCCTCCTGAACTTCAGTTCTAACAGGAACAAAGCTGTTAAAAAATGAAAATATGCTTGTGTTATTGCTGCAGCAAAATGCAGTAATGCTTGCTTTTGAGAAATATCCTTTTCACCTTGAAAAGGATTGATGTCTTTATGCAGTGATATATGGGCATATCTGCTCAGTATTTATGAGCAATCACTTCACCTTGCAGGCTATAGCTACCAATGGAGATATATTCAGTTGCAGGAACTAGTTAATCACTGCAGTATGAGCATTGGCTCAATTTATAACCAGTCTTAATAGTGCAGTTGAGTCCAGTTTTACTGTTTGGGAAAATTGTACCAAAAGTGTCAAAATTAAAAGTTCCAAGAAAAAAAATGAGGTTCATTTATTGAATTCTAATGCCATATAGATTTTTGTTGTATGTTATTTTCATCCAAGCAACACTTAAATACTACTATCATAAAACTTAAAAACATCTTGACAAATCCTATTACATCCATGACTCAGATGTAAAATATCAGACTGTCCATCCATCCAGAAGTACCCCAAACTACTCACAAAGTCAGTTTGACTCCTCTTTATCAGTTTCTTACCTTTGCATGTAACAAAATAATTGGCTGCTCAGAGTGATGAGAAAGTTATTCAAGGAGCTAGAAATAACAGGAATACAGAAATTGATTGTTAAAAAAAATTATATTAGCCTTAAGATATCACAAAATCGCATACATTTTAGCCTTCTCTCAGAATATCAACTGTGGACTTTTCTAACTCTCTACCATAATGGCCTTTGCAAGGGAGCATGGGTATACAGAACACCAGCTGTTAATGCTCTAAGTAGCAGGCAAGACAAGGTAAGTGGAGGGGACATGACGGAAAGTATAGATGTCAATTCAGTAGTACATACGAATGATCTGTGTCCATATGTAGAAGGTCTCTGCTCCAGAAATGCTGTATCTTTTTTCTTTTTCAAAGTATTAGCCCATGACGACAGAGGCAGATGATGGTAGTATGGCAGTAGAGGTTGAACCTTCCCACCAATATTCCATTACATTTTGTTGCTGTGCAGCAACAGCAGTAGAGTGGCAGCCTGACAAACCAGTGTCTGACATGGAAGCAATGGCACATATTTGCTGCGTCTATGAACTCCTCCAAGCAAAAAAAAAAAAATAAAAAAAATTAAAAAATGGCACCCATTAATCACTGATGCTTACTGAGTGATTATGGAGACTGAACAGTAAATGTTACAATAGTAAGGTAGTGAATGTGCATTTCTGTAGTGGTGACAGCAGGTTACCTCCTCTGTGCGTACAGACTCTTGTTCATCATTGGCAAAAATGCAGAGCTAATAGAAGTGACTATGTCGAAAAATAGTGGCTTATACCTGAGAAATTTGCTCTATCAAACAGCGTTCTTCTGCTTTTTGTATCCATTGTAGTGTCTGCAAAATAAACAGGAGGCATTACTTTCAGAGCAACCTACTTATTTTTGTAGGTCTCTACATTTTGCAAGACCCCCTCTGTTGTGAAAACAGCAATAACTCCACAAACTTAAGGAAGATCAGTCAATTGCTTTTCCCCATTACAAGTGACACTGATAGCTTTTGTCAACTAAAGCAGAAAAGCAGCATTTTTGTCATCACCACCACAAACTCACTTTCCTCCAGCTCATTGTATGGTTAGCAATTGTATTAGTGTCAGTACTCAAAGAGTGGAAGAAAAGCTGCAGAGCTGTTGAAAATACATGAAACAGGAATCAAATGAACGAGTCCTAGCACATGCGATTTGGTATAGTATCTGTTGCTAAGTGCTTCACATTCCTAGCAGAACTAAGTTGACAACTTTAGGAATTTCTTCAGGAATCTTTCTGAAAAGTACTCCATACATAAGCCAAATCAAGAATTTCTAAAGCCAACCAAAAGAAAAAGAGCAAAGTTCCTCAAAACCAAGAAATGACACTTCAATATCAAAGAGGGGAAGAAACTAAGAGATAAAACATTGAATGATATATTCAGATCAACTTTTGAGCAATTAAAGAGAACAATCTATTATCTAAACAAATAAATATGACCTTTGCATACACACACACACACACACAATATAACCTCTTTGGTATAGGCAAAATAAAGCTGAGACAATAGCAATACCAGAGCTGCTACTCCTTGCTGAGAAACACAGCTTATGGTGTGAAGAAAAAAAAAAAAAAACCTGTCAAAACGCCATCAACCCAGAGGTGTATCCCCAGAAAGGTTCCCCAGGAACTATAAATTATGGTTTTCTGATCCAATTTCTGAAAGGAGAATCTCTGTGTGCCAAAATGCATCCAGCATCTCTTGAATTCCTGGTTAACACAACAGCTCTGTTATCACACAAAGTACTTGTTTAAAAAAAAAAAAAAAAAAAAAAAAAAAAAAAGATGAAGACTAAATGTTGAAAGCATATGGTGCTTCAGATATCTGCTCTTGAAGGATTCTTGCAATCACTTCTCAGCATGGAGGGAAAAAAAGTCCTCCATCACAAGTTAACTTACCCTAAAAGGGAACTTAACACAGAGTCCTTACTCATCTTTCTTTCACAAATGTATATGCCTTTGAAATTTAGATTACCTCCCCCTCCTGCAACCTCAAAAACAGTAATGAAGAGTTAATTCAGTACTGGATTTGAGACATTCCTATAATCCCATATCCCTGGGTCAATCTCTCATTGCTTTGGCTAATTAAACAACTAACCTACTCCTCAGTATAACTTTCCTGCCACAATCCAATTGCGAAATACAAAACTGCATGCAAATTTCAGGGATCGTCTAAGCAAACACTTGCTTTAAGACCTATGCAAGGATCTTGGGAAATTATACTAATTATACTCGGAGCAACCACTTCTTCCCATCTGCAGATTTTTTAGAACAGTTAAACATCTTCATTAATAAGGAGAACACAAGGTAAATAAGCAGAATAATAAGTATTAATTCATAAAGTATAACTAACACCATAAAATTTCAAGTCTTTCCCTCTGGGGAAGCAACTGTTCAGCCAGCTGGTTGCTCTCCCTTCACTCCAGTAACCTTCAGTCACAGTTTAAATCTTAAGACTTCTAGATAGCAAGGACTGGTGTAGGCTGCACTGATCCGTTGGTATGAAACATGCCAGCCAGGTACCCATCAATCTGCAGGTCATGCCTCCCACTGCCTTTCCCATCAGCAGTTTTCACCAGTCATGTCTTGCATCTGAAGCTCCTCTGTTTTTTTTCTTTACAAGCAATTATTTTGCTTTTTCAGTGTTAGAAATATGTTTAGAACAGCAATAAAGACCCTGCATGTAGCAGGGAGGTTGAAACTATATGATCATTATGGTGGTTTTCAACCCAGGACTTTCTATGATTCTATGATGTCTCTTCCTCATAGCCACCACCAACACAAGAACAAAACTGAACTCTCCTAGTGAATGCAATCAAATATTCCTCCCGTGCACACACCCTCTTGATGACAATATTATGAAATTGAGCATACTTAGGTGACTAAGAGGGGCACAGTGTTTAGAAAACAAGTTTAAAGTCATTTAATGTGCAAAAGCTCTACAGTCTGGACAACATATAAAAGTCACTTTTAACTGATGACATACTTTAAAAAACAAACTACCTACAACATACATATATATATATATGCAAGTCTCTACATTTACTTACACATAGGAGTGTTAGTTACGTATGTAAGTTTGTATCTTTACACTCAGAAGTTCTTTCCAGAGCCTTCATCTCCCACAGTTTAAACATGTCACACTACGCTCAGCCACCACATTGAATTGATAACAACTACTATAGGTTGTATTTTGTATATTGAAGTTAAGATTAATATAAGACATCAATTTAACAAGCTGAAAAAGGCATAACGAGTCTATTTTTATTTTATAGTAGTTTGTTTTTTGTAGAGAAAGCAAGATCTAAACAAACAAGGGAATATACTTATCTAAACCAGCTCTCTGCAACCAGGGAGCTGAATGCTTTCTGCCATGCAAAACTTCCTAGCCAATGCAAGAAGGAAGGGTTGAGGCAGTCCCAACCACATACAAAGGATGGGTGCTAAGCAGACTGAGAAGGACTTGAGGGTACTGGTGAATGAGATGCTCAAGATGAGCCAGCAGTGTGTACTTGCAAACCAGTAGCTATGGGAGAACAGAGGTATATTGAGATGAGAAATATTAACAAGTAGAAGGAGCTAAAGGAGTATCCAGCAAACACATTTTTCTGCTGCTATAACTGCAGTCCACTGCGACAAATGAACATTATTCTTTACTTTCTGCATGTCTACAATGATTTTTTTTTTTTTTTCTAAAAAAGGTGCCTTATATCTAAATCGTAGATGAGTACCTCACGAGAAAATTATGATAGGAACAATAAAGCAAGATCTCATTGAACTAAATCAATACCCACTCCTTATCACCATGTTTTGAGATAATTCATAGTTGGAGGCAAATCCTAAGCTTTCCAATATCTGACTAATTATTTGCAGTGTGCTCTGAGAACTTGGTAACTGAAGATATACAGCTGTAAAACACTGCTTGATCATTACACGATTACAAAAATATTGAAGACAGTCACAGCTTAACAACAGTAATACAAAGCTGTCAACACAGGCTGCAAACTAAATGCTCACCCAGTTCAGTTCCTTTAACGGCATTTTGGCACTACAAGCAGGCTGACATCTGGTCTGATTGTGCTTCACAATTACATTAGGAATCCTTGAGTGGGATCAGTCCAGGCAGAACACACACAGTCTTCCTCCCTAGACCTTTGGGAAGGAGAATAGCATGTTGTTGCAGTGCTCTAGTTCTACCTGCTCTTTAGAGGTTTTACTACCTGAGAAAGAGGCATCTCAGCCCACAACATGATTGTTTACAGTAGTAGCTTATCATGACTGCAGCAAGCTACAGACAAGCATGGCATAAATCTACTGCTTGCTTGTCTGGCCATGGGCAAGTCAGGCCTGGATCCAGCCAACAAGTGCACTCTGACTCTGTAAATATTAAGCTTATTTTCAGTTCTTGCCAAACAAAAGAACCAGGAAGATGAAAGATTGAAGTTAAAATTTATTCCAGCACACATCTACAAAAAGAATTCATCCTTACTTAACAATCTTGCCTGCATTCCAATATATTTTTATATAATGCATTACACATAGGCTACATCCTATACAACACTACTCGCTTGTTGAAGCCAATTTGAATTCCTCAAGTGGGATTTTCTGAGACACATTACCATTCACTTCAAGATATATTTAGGATGCTTTCATTATTCATTGTGTTACGCAATCAGTGAAAACAAATCTTTCCAGGAAAACAAATTGCTTCCTCTATTATAGTGCATATTGATTAAACACATGATTTAGAAAATTAAATGGGCAATGAAACAATAAATAGCTATTTTCTGGGATGAAATATATTCAATAGGCAAGGTTACTCTATCTTGACTTAAATGTAGTTACAATTCTCTAAGATAAAATTTACATTTTACTTAAACTACAACATGACACTAATTAAGATATTTATAATTAAGATAATTAAGATATTTATAATTCATGACTTATGAAAAGTGACTATACACCCAAGTATAACGCACAGAATTGGACCCAGTTGTGACAGTCGATACTTAGGGAAGTAGATGCAATAGCAGCATGTGGTCCTTTTTATGCTTGTCACCTTGAAATACTGCATAAAGATTACTCTGCAGCCTCAATCTATAGGACCTGATTCTCCACTCATTGCCCTATTGATGACATTGTTTTGGAAATCAGTAAAGTTACACAGCCAGAAAATAGGTAAAAATGCATCAGCCCACACTCCCTGAAGGGACCTCACCTCACCGGTGGGAAGTGAATACATTTGTCAATCCGACTCCCTTTATGTCCACTAAAAGCATTGCTTTTAACTAGAGGGAAGAAGGAAGTCTTGCCAAACTTTTGTCACATCTTCGTAAACCTCTCTAGAAACTCTTTCAGAAAGATATTTAATGTAAGAGGTTAAAAACCCGTACACATTAATATTGAATAGTATTTAAATAAAGTTGGTAGTTTTCTTTAAATGTGAAGATAAAATGTGTTCAAATTTTCTAATTAAAAGTAGGAAGTTTCTGAGTGAGAAAAATTAAGTGGCTATAGTTAATTATACGTGAGAAAAATAAGATTCTCAAATGAGGCAAATTTAATCTCAGGTTGACAATTTACACAAGGGATATTTTAAGCTGTGTGTGCAAATTCACACAGTTCTTGTAGTAAAATCCATTAATTCATGGGAAACAGAAGATACCATGCAGAGGATGCAGAGATCTGCAATTTATCAACAAAGAGTGGGACACGTCACTGAACAGCAGTCAGTGAATCACACAGTGACTTTGTTATAGTTTGACCAAACACTCACTACTGATGCCTACAAAATCAAGTACAGATTGATAACACAATACCCTCTCAGTAAGACAGTAACCTGTCCCATCATCCAGCTGCAATTCTTCTCAAGTCTTTTAAATTGACCAACAATTAAGTGAATAAATGTTAGACTATCATCATATGAAACAGCAAATATCATATAACACAAATAAAGAAATGGAATTCTGAATGTCTTTTTCTTGTTATTTTGCCTTAAAACATAGATGATCATGTCACATTACCAGGAATGCAGTTCAGTCTACTTGCTCAGGTATCTGAGAAACAGAGATATGCCGTAGAAGTAACATTAAATTAGATAGTGCAGCCCACATCAGAAAAACTAAAACAGTTTTAAGCAAAAATAAAAATAAATATAGAGATGTAGAATGAGATTAAGCTTTACATTTTGAAAGACTATGAGAAATTACACAATAGATGTAGCACACACAATTTCTTTATAGTGAAAACAAAACAGAAATAAGAATAAAGCTCTATTTCTCATGACATTATTTCAGATTCTTCCTAAGAAGTCCTGCCAAAAAAAAAACCTCTTCCACAAAATCTGTTAAAATTGTACTATAACTCTTGTAAGTATAGAAACACTAATTAAGAGGCATTCTAACTATGCTAAAAAGCTTTTTGTAATTTCCAGAAGCAATTACTTCACTAGCACAGAGAGCTTTTAATGAATCTGGGTACTGGAGAACTCTGTTTTTGAAGTAATAGGAAGCCTTTTTTGTGAAAATATAAAGCTTTGACTAAGCACCATTTTATCATTATAAAATATTAGTGGTACTTTTGTGTAGTTCTCCAGCGTGTTAAACGATATTTTAAATTTATGTGGTATAGAAAACACTTCACTATGGGTTTTCTGTTGCCTGTTTACAGCAAGCTCACTTGATGAGGGGACCTAAGAAGATCTCTCCAAGCTGAAATAATCAAAATATCAATTTTTAACCTTATGCACAATTTGAAAAGATTACTTAAATAGAAACTCATAGTTCAAGCATCTGACTGATGAAGTTCTATCCACTGTTAACCAAATCCAGCCTAAAGCAACGTTAGACATGATGAACAACTTGAAAAATTAAAATGACTTTTGAATGGGAAATTCATCTTCTTTAATCTCTCTCTCTCTCTCTCTCTCTATATATATATATATAAATATAGAGAGAGATAGTAAGAGCCTGACATGATGAAGTTAGCAGAAACAAACATTTAACAGCTATAATCATTAACCACAATAACTTGTTCATGCTTTTCAGGAGGACAGAGTATCCACTGTGCAGTAGAAGTAGTTCACAGCAAGTATGTTGAAAATACTTCAGAACGCAATACACAGAGAGACAAGCCATGTCCACTTACACAAAACATCATGCATTACTTCTGGATTTTTTTTCCTCTCTAAGACTCCAGCCAGCATAGCAACATACACGCATGGGAGACCAAATGCCCCATGTCCCTTGATTTGAACAGCAGTGGCACACTCTGCATCCTGAAGTGGATTCAGAGGTTCAGAGATCCGAGTGCTTTGTGAATTATGGGTTCCATCCAACAAAGCACAGCCACTTCACATGCTGTTTAGAGATGCACCACAGTGATACATATACCTTGCCAAAGGGAGAATTACATAGCAACATCTTTTACAGCTAAAGAATCTCAGCCAAAAATTTAGGCTTACAGCAAACTGGCATCCTATTTCCTTGTGATACTTTCACTAACTGATTTAACTGTCTAAAATATATTTACTAAAAATTGTGTTATTAAACAAGACATAGGGTGGCTCTTTATATACTCTCAAGGATGTCTCTCTTGAATACAGAGATCTTTATGCATCTCTTGCCTGTTTGGCTTCAAAAACAAAAGAATAGATTTTGTTTGATTTTAAGAAATACAGTTACATGACATATACCCTCACCTCTGTCACACAGAAAGGATTACAGACAGGTTGTAGTTGAGCTCTCACTGTAACCTCCCACCTCATGTGCCACACCAGGGAATTGTTTGTCATTGTCACCTTTGCTCTCCTTTGAGTACAACAGGAGATCAACACTGGCAAACCACAGGAAGTCTTCTGCTGTCTTAAAAATGTTTTGAGTCAGACACATGAAAGAAGTGGAATGGATGAAAAACAGCTTGATCTCTTCAGTACCCACAGGGAGACCAAGAAGCTACATGCCTCAATGCACAGGCAGCACCACAGAATGGATGCTGCCATGAATCTGCACAGTTGCTGGCACAGACCCTAATTCTGATGCAGTGTTCCAATGTTATCTGGAACAAATGAAACAGATTTGATTTGAGTTGCCTAAGTAATCTTCTCCCTCATATTTCATCAGGGCAAAGAACGTAACTCATTTTTACTCTTGATGCTATCCTACTAACTGAAAGGATAAAATGTTGCATAGGATTCAGTGCCAGTTTTGATGAGGCAGAAGGATTCAAATTCCTCTTCGCTGTAATTGAAAATAAGTTACTTTGTTTGGAACGTTGAAAATATACCAGTGATCTGATAGAATCTGTTGCTCGTGAAAAATACACCCTTGTCAAAACTGGGAATTTCTCACTAATTCACTTATTCCAATTAAGTTTAGGGCAGGAGGCTCTCCGTGCAATGGAGTCTGCTTCACACACAATAGAAACCCAAATCAACTTTCTGATACAATTCACAGATCACTTGTAAGCTCTAACTTCTCTGTATAACAAAAAAAAAAAAGTGGAAAGCAATGAAAGTGATCCAAATGTGGAGTATTGCCAACCTGCTCAACATTTCAAATTTCATGGAGTGATACAAGTTTTGAAAAATTGTAAGTACGTTGGCCTCCTTTCACACTAGGGTAATAGTTTTGTTTCAAAGATTTTCACAGAATACGCCTTTATTTCCTTCTAAACAAAGAACTTATATTTCAAAACACTGATTAACAACTCATATTAAACAATTAAACACCACTGTACAGTGAAGCAATTCTGTGTTTTATCCTGTAGACCTATCACCCGCATCATTTCTTGAGCTTCACTGATCTGAGTGAGCAAGACTGCCTGAGCGCTATGATGGAATCACAACAAATAACAAGCAGGGAGTATCATCACCTGAGCACCAGTACTGTGGCAAGCACCATGCTAAGCTGTAACGAGGATATATCACAGATGTTTTCATAAATGGAAGTTTATGGATATTGCAGAATTTGAAGTTCTATGGCAACATTACCAAGTGTAAATGCACTTTGTTCATGTGCTGTTACAATATTTATATTCTCTGTCTTCCCACACATCCTCAAAGTCTGTTCTCACTCACACCACCCGTGGGCTGGGGCCTGATGCTAACTCAGTGGGCAGTAGCCCCACTGTACATCAGCTATGCTGGCTTTTCCTTGAAAGACACTCACTGAGGTCCTGCTACTTTTTATAGTTCGACTTAGATCACACTGCTTTATAATTCAGGTAGTAAAACCAAATCCTTTTGTTTACTCTAAGATGTGTTTTACAGGCCATACTTAAAGACAACACTCACTTTTATTGAAAACATTCAGGCTGCAAGTTTTACTCTGCCTGAACGAAAAGGAAAATAACATTTTCAGAGTGCTGAAATGGAAGTTCTTTTCCTACCTAGAAAAGAAGTGCCATTCCACCACACAATAAGGACTTGGTATTTCAGTGTTTAAGTTTTCCTCAGCATAAATGTACAATATATCCCCTTCCTAACGTTCAGTACAGTGGGCTATTAATGTGTTTTCTCATTGTGCGTGTATGTTTTTGTAGAACTCAAGTCTTACTCAAGCCCTCTGCACACAAATGAGTTAAGAAATCTGTAAGAATTCATCACTTAGAATAGAGGACCTGACTTGCTCAGCTTCTTTCATGGTATCCAGCTTCAAGGATAGTTATCACTAAAAGGAGTTGGGGAAAAAAGGAAAGAAAACAAAACAAAAAAAATAACAATGGACTATTATCACATATTTTCTTCTTCAGAGCACTTCAGCCAATCTGTCTTAGATCCTAGACAGTTTGATCCACAGCCTACTGCAGGTCAACTCAACATTTAATGAGATTTGCAAGGGAAACGTCCTAGCTTTGCCTCTGCTGGCCCATTCAGGCACAGCTGGGCCCACAAAGCCCAGCTACATCTAGCCCCGGGAATCCAGTGCCACATCCCCTTGTACTTCTAGTGCCATCCACTTCTCTGCCAACAATAATCCAGTTAAGCAAAGTCTAAATGCCTTCTGCTATTTCTGGCTCAGTCAAGGACTAAGAGGCACTGCTTCATCCATCCACATTTTCAGCACTTACCAGCTTGTTCTTTCTTCTGTGTTAAGCATCAGATTTCCCTATAAGAGAAGCAGAATTATCCACATAGCCACAGAAATCCTTTTAGATTAGGGAAAGTAGAACAAAGAGTGGAACAATGCAAATCCTAAGAAAAATCACGCTGAGACATGTCTCCCACAGTTGTCTATGCTGAGCTGATCAGAGTGACTCAAGTTCACTGACAGCAGGAGAATTACCACACAAAGCTTTATAAAACATAGAAACTTAACAATTACAGTAATTAATAAATCCATCACCCCTACTTGTACACCATACCTATTGAGCAATGAGGTATTTGATGAAGACATTGCCACTGCCAGAAAGATCATCTACCTGAAATAAAGCATTAAGAGAATTCATATGATGTGACAAAAACCAAGGCTTGTCTAGCACTGACGTTGCTTTGTTTAACTCAATGTACATAACTTCATTGTATTTACTACCACATTTGAGCTCCCAGATATTGTTCCTGGTATTTTGGAGTGACTGATCAGGAACCTTCTTCTCACATTCATAGCATTAATGTATTTTGCAAAACACAATTTGCCAAAACACAGACTTCCCCTCAAAATACTGGTATAGAGTCACTTACAAAAATTAGTCGTCTTTGTCTGAAGTTAGTAAAACTTATCACAGGTTCAAAATTAAATATGCAGTATTATTCTAGTAATCTGAATATGAAAACACAGATCTTCAGAAATTGAGTACTCCAGGCTCTACTTAGAATACAAATGAGCTAATATTGAATATCTCTACGTATCTAGAAATCACACACATGCAGTGTGTGTTGTGTGCTTGTTGAGTATATACAAACAGACCATATAATTGGGGTAAAGAAAATTCAATCTGCAAACTGCTTTTATACAGAAGTATAATTTATTGCTGCTTTCCATGTATTAAACCATTTCCGTGATGCTTTGGAGCATAAAAAGAGCCTCATGCAGACATGGTAGAGCCAAAATCCATTCAATGACTTCACTCCTCTGTCATCTGTCTTTTCATTGGTATTCACTAACACACAGAGAATGTATCCAAGCAAAGGGGCTTACTGTTAATTGCACCGTCTTCATTAATACTGAATTCTGCGTCTGTTGGCTCCGACAATTGGTAACACAAAAGATGCCAAGAGCTTACAAAAACATATATATAGATATTTGGTTCAATATTCTTCATGAATATATTAGTAGTAGTATCTGCTTCAATAGACCAAGATGAAAAGGGTGGCTTATTAGCTGTTCACCAGGAATAAAAGGGAAATAGTCTCAGTTTTTCACTCAAACCTATTTACATCATTTGTATGCCCTTTAGATAATTAGGCATCATTTCAGAATGAGCAATCCTCACTGTGGTGCAAATGTATCTAGCTGTAATCAGAGCTATCCACACCACTTACATTTGTGGAAAGAACCATGGCTACTTCAAACTCAGAAGAATTCTAGACAATAAATACCAAAACAAATCCAAAAGGGATCTCTTTGCTCCAAGACTACAACTTACACCAACTTAACTTGAAACTGCTTAGAAATGCCTAAATAAACATCTGATTTCAGGATGATGTATTGCAGGCATGACATGAAAGTGTGCCCACAATCCTGCATACATTACAATGAAAGCAATAATTTTGGATTGTGCTGTTTTCACCAAGGGCAACAAACCAAGATGAAGGTAGGTATTCTAGCACCTGCTGTCACACAACATCCCTGAGTTGTGCCACCCATATATCAATTGATACGCATCACGCATACTTCAGTCTGCAAAGGATGATTTTCACTACTCTGTTACTTGCTTTGTGGTAGGATTCATTGTAATGAGCACAAACTGGCAAGCTCCTTACCAGCATGCTGCTCAAATGGCTACCCACTCTCCACCTCAGAGCAAGGCCTTATGTTTTAAGCAATAGGTATCTGCAATCAGGACAAATACTCGGAGATAATGCTGAATCTCTTTTATACTTTCCACCTCCCTCCACTTCTCCTGGAGATGGAAAAAGTTAGTGCTGGAGCTCCAATGAACAGATTATTATAAATATTTATGTTGAATAAAGTACAACAGCCACAAAGAATCAAGCAAGTAAATATTCAACTAAATACACTATTCTTCATTCAGCTTTGATTCTGCAACTGTCTCAAAACAGTTTTCTGCTCTCAAAAATGAAAATTCTCCCAGAGTTATAAACACATTTTTGAATTTCAAACATTTCTTCCACTTTTTTCTTAGTGAGTAATACATTTTAAATGCCATTGAGTGAAGCATCTCATTGAGTTCTTCTTACATGGAACTGAAATCCTATACTGATATCCTGCTGTACCTTGGGCAATTCTGTTGTAGCTACAACTGGTAATATTCAGAAATTAATAGCTCAAAATGTACGCCCCAAGAAACCTATCAACCTATTTTTTTTAATCTTGGAATTGAAATTCAAACACTTTCCACCACACAAGTGAGTCTGTTTGAAGGTAGGTATTTTTTCCTCTTTCATGGAGATCAATATCATCATCCAGCTTTGGTCCAAATTGATAATTTAGTCTTCTGATCACCAAGAAGTTCTTCCTGACAGCAGGAAGAACTACTGAGCAACTTCAAGAAGCCATTTTTTTTAAGCAGACAAGGCTTTAGCAGTGGAACTGTTTAATATTCCAGAAATAAACATGCTGTGATAATTCCATTTAAACATTTACATAAGGAAAACTCCATCTTCATCAGAGACCATGATATTTGAAAAAACACTCAAAGCTCCTTGGCCAGTAATGGGCTACTGCTGCCCTACAACAGTCATCTATGACAAGTGACATTGTCTTTCTTTGCAGATAAGGTACCGAGGTAACTTGACAGTAACTTGTGTCCCAGTACCCAATTTATTCTTCTGATCTTACAGACTCGATAGCCAAACTAAGCACAGAGCAACCAATTTCCCCAAGTACACAGGCAAACAGAGAGGAAGACAATAGTCTCCCCATACCTAAGCAGGAAGGATCAAATATTGAGATAACACTAACTGAAGGCAACTCTTAAAATGCTTTGAAATGTCAAGTGTTACTTGCAGGTGTGAAGGTACAGCTTTTTATTCCTGAGTCAACTGCTGACCCACACAAAAAATACTAAAATCAATAATGCAGAACAAAGTTGTTACAATCATGAATGCATTTGAAGCAAACCATACTTATGTTTCAAGAGCCATACTTTGAAATCCTGACAGAAAGAAATTATTGCAGAGATCTCAAGGAAAGGAAATAAATGGGTTTACAACTATTTAAGAACCAAACATGCAACTATTACTGGAAAATCTCAAAACCACAATTCTAGCAACCCTGTCTGCAGCAGGGGTTGGAACTAAAGGATTTTTGAGATCCTTTCCAACCCAAGCTGTTCTATGACTCTATGCAAACTGACAACGTGAGAAACATTTCTTTAAAAACAAATTGAGGTACTGAAGAAGTACCTGTGTAAAATGAAGTCAAGATCATTCTGATTTGGTCAGTCTTTGCTGTGGTGTTGCAGTTTCATATTATATATAATCTCAAGGTCTATACAAAGATTAAAGAAAACCACCTAATGTGTGACTACCAGAGACTGCAGTAGCAACAGAAACACTGTGAACAGCAGTGCACATTTTTGTTGTCTAAATACCTGCACGTTGCATGACACGCTAAATTTGATATGCTAGACTAATAATGGAAATTTATTTTCTATAAAAAAGCCATCAATTATGGTGACTGAAAATATGTACAGAATGGGGAGGGAAAACAATGGTGAAACATGGTTACTTGATTCCATGCACAGGTTTAGCAGCTGCCAAAACAAGCATACTCTTCAAAGTCTGGAGTACAAAAGGCTTCCATGAAGCCTTTGAATGCTTTATTTTAGTGGTTAACATCAATGAAACCAACAGATGCCTAGCTACCTATGCAGTACAAAGTAAAAACCCTCAAACAACCTATTTCAAGAGCAATGAAAACATTTTCAGTACCTCAACTAGCAAACCACGCAAAAATTAAAATGAAAAAACTACACATAACTGGACTGTGAGCTTATGTAAGAGAATATAACAAAAATAATGATGCAAGCTCTTTTCCCAGGAAAAATAAAATGTTGTAGTGAGGCTCATCCACAACATATTATTCACAGTACTACTATTCTTAAAGACTCCAATCATCACCTACTAAGGCAGTGTACAAGTGCGTAGCAGACTGGTGGATGAAAAGAAATATTAACAAGTATAAAGTTTTCTCTCAGTAAAAAGTCATTTTATCTTAGAAATCCCTAAAAATATCAAACTCTTCCAGCATATCTACCCATTTTCATAGAAAAAAACCTTTCAAGCTGAAAAAACTCTAGCCTAAAAAGCATGTAATTTGCTATCATAGTCTTACAAGGACACCTACAACATAGGCAAACACACAGGACCAAAAGAATGAAAATCAAATTTGTTTAAAAAAATCCAGCCATCTGAGCTCTTCCCCCTCCATCAGCTTTATGGGAGAATGCCTGAAAGCTCACACACTGAAAGAATAACTATCTTCATGAAAGTTTGTGTCTTAGGTTTCTCCCTAAAGTCTGCTTCCAGGGCAAAAATAGGGCCTCTGTGTTAACTGATAGTTTTGCAAAGGCAAATAGAAGTTTACTTTTAAGGTTGGTCACTTTTGAAAAGAACAAAATATTTCACAAAAGACCTCAACATCTAGTTCATATTCTCTACTTCGTGTTTGATACTGAAATAAACTTCTCTCCCATTAAAACTCAAATAAAACTGTATTAAGTGAATAAACAGTACAACTGGCTTTTAGTTCAGAAGAAACACTTAAAAAGTGACAAAATCGTGCAGAACAGCTGCAGATACAAAGGTTTCTGGTAATAAATAATACAGCAATGTTTTCAATTTGGGGTGTTGTGTGCATTTCCACACAAATGGCCGAAAACTCATGACTGCTTTGGTGAAATCAATGGGACTTCTAAGCTAAATTGGTTCTTGTGTAAATCCTGATTATGTCTTCATTCTTAGAGCCTATCCATTTAATTCTCTTCACACCATGTTCTTTACTGTCTCAGATTTGCTGACAATTTGCTGCTTTGTTCTGGTTTTAAAAGACTCTGAAGTTGGAACAAGAACTAATTTTAACACTGGCAGTGAAAGAGGTCAAAGTTTTCAGCTGGAAGGTATCCAAGACGTGGAGGGATCAGGTTCTAGCTAGAGACCAGAATTAAATGCTTGACCTTTTAAAAATGGAAAATGGGCAACTTCTGTGCAATTCTGCTGTGCAGCATCATCAAAACGTTCCAGTTTTGTTCTTAGGTGGGCAAAAAGTCAAAGTTTGAAACCTCAGAAAACTGATAAG